CTCATATATTATATGATAATTTTTAAACACACATAGTGTTTTTTAAAATTACGTATTTCGAAAGCGCAGCTGACTGTAACGGGAATTTGGCATCGTCGAAGCGCGCTAAACGCCCATCTCCAACTACAAATCGTGGGTTGGAGTTCATTTCCCTCCACCCACGTCTCTCATTTTTCAAACGGCTCATGCAACTCTCAGTTCCTCGAGCTCATTTTTAGTTTTCCGTTCAAGCTGGCTAGAACCCGCTCTCTACCGAGAGGCGTTTCACCTTCAACATTATTAGCCGACATTCTCAACCACAACGCCACGACGATGGCTGCTACGCCGACACTTAACCGCGCGAACAACACCGTCGTCAACGACCCGATTAATTCCGACAACGATCGCAATGCCCGGGAAACGTCGGGCGAACGCCGCAACAAGCGCCGGGCAGACGGCGAAACGTCCGCCCCTACTGCCGTCGACGTGCTGCTGGGCGGGCTCGAGGTCAACAAAAACGCCGAGCGGCACCAGCAGCACCCTTCGGCGCCTGTGGCGCCTGTGGCGCCTGTTGCGCCAGTGGCGCCTGTGGCACCTGTGGCGAACGTGGCGCCACACGCTGCTGACGCGGAGCACGCGCCTGAGGCACACGCGCCCCTCAGGCAGTCGCGTCAGCGCCAGAGGCGCAGGACGGCCGCCTCGTCTGACGCGACCGTGGACCCTGACTTGACCGGGGCGTTGACCCCGGACCAAGTCAAAGCGCTTCTGTCCCTGTTACAGCAGCGACCCGCCAGCGTCATTGAAGCCGAAACTACACAACCGGCAGCATCGATTTCGGCTAAAAACGAAAATTCGAAAAAGGAGAAGGGAGCAAAAGGAGCGCCCACACGCCGTCACAACAAAGAAGCAGCCACCGGCATTCCCGAAGCCGCAGCCGACAATCAGGACTCCGACGACTCAGACGACGACGCTGGTGAGGCTCCAATCAAGCAACAAATTTTACATCCATGGAAAATCTCCCCCCCCTTCCTTCCACCACCCCCACCTTCTCGGCCGCAAACTTCATGAAGACAATCGTGCGCGCGAAAGCGGAGCCCCTGGAGGACGTGAGGGCCTACCTGAAACACGCGGAGTACAAGCTGCAGCACGACGACACGGCGGGCGGACTCGAAATGGTCGTCAACGCCTCGACTATATTTCGGAGCGCTTCGTGATGTTCCAATTCGAGGACCACACCGACGACCGCGTGGCGAAGCGATTCAAGCTCTACCAGCAGAAGAGTCTCCTCACCTCCCGCCCGTTCAAGCAGGCGGTGGCTGACGTCGCAGCTATGGATCGCGCGGAAGGCGCGTACGCTCGTTCCCACCGCGGTGGAGGGCACGGGCCGACTTCATACACCCCAAAGCGGGGACCGCCGCCCACGGGTGGCTTCCATGGCTTCCGTGGGGCGTGCTTCCGTTGTGGCCAGCCGGGTCACATGGCAAGTGGCTGCCCGAGAAACGGAAACGGTGGCCAAGGACCCGCACCCGTGGTGTAGGGGCGGGCCTTGAGCGATGACGCCTTGTGCGCGTGGCACGGTGCACGTCATGTGCAAAGACCGTGGGCAACCCAAAGGGGTTAGCGGTGGCGGTTGGCCAGCCCTAGTTAGGGGTGATTAATAGGCTAGAGGCCTAGGATGAGGGGGAGGGAGCAAAAACCTCTTGGCCCATTGGTAGTAGCCCATGCGGTAGGGGCGAAGGCATGCTAGGAGCATGGCAATGTATGGCCCGGTTTATATACGGGCGGATTTATTGAAGAAGCATTTTTTGACTTGGCTCATGGTGTGACAAAAAAAAAAATAAATAAATAAATAAAGCAAAGGGGGGGGAGGAAAGAGAGAATAAGCGGAAGAAGAAGAGACAAGGAGAGAGGGCGGAGCAAAGAATGGCAATGACACTTACCATATGACCCCAATCAATGACCTTTGCACTCATCGGACGTGCAACCATTGCTTTGGCCAAAGGGCCAAGAAGCATGACCCGACTAAAGGGTGAGCAAGAGCAAGAACAAAGGAGAATTTGTGTGTGTGCGCACGTGTGTGTGAGAGAGAAAAAGAGGGAGAGAGAGGGGGAGAGAGAGAGAGAGAGAGAGAGAGAGAGAGAGAGAGGAGAGAGAGAGAGAGAGAGAGAGAGAGAGAGAGAGAGAGAGAGAGAGAAAGAGAGAGAGAGAGAGAGGGAGCAAGCCAAAGATAAACAAGGAGAGGGAGAGGGAGGAGAGTCGAATGGAAGGCACGAGGCATGAAAAAAAAAAAAAAAAAAAAAAAACAATTCGTGATCACATGACCGTGCGGGAAGACTCACACCCGCTCTTTGGTTGAGGGATGCCAAAAAAAAAAAAAAAAAAAAAAAAAAAAAAAAAAAAAAAAAAAAAAAAAAAAAAAAACGAGGGCGTACAATGCGGATGTAATTGAATGGGTCAATGCGCATACACCCATCGCATGCACCTACCCTTCACACACGAAGGATGTGTATCATATCCATAAGAACCTCAATTTGCAATCCTGCCCCATTGTCACTCCGCAAACATGCAGAGGCAACAAGCGAGGAGATGTTAGACGACGATGATCCGTACGAATTCGCCGTCACAGACAAGACCGTCACGCGAATGCGCGGGAGGCTTCGCGCAACCCTTGTATGGTGGAGCTCGTGGTGCCCAAGTAGCCTCATCCTCTCGGTCATCGCCAATGGCTACTGGCTACCATGGAGACACAACCCTCCACAACCGTTTCACGAACGCAACCATCTCGGCGCACACACACACGCGGCATTCACGTGCACGGCCATTCGCGAACTGACGGAGACCGGAGCGGCGGTCGTTACCCCGGCAGCGGAGCTTACATGCATCAGCCCTCTCAACGTGGTCGAGCAACGTGACAAATGCAGGCTTATTCTCGACCTTCGGAAAGTGAACGAGCACCTGATCATTCCGAAATTCAAATACGAGGGATTGAGCCGCGTCGCCGACTTGGCGCGCATAGGAGACTGGATGTTCTCCATCGACCTAAAATCCGGATACCATCATGTCGACATACACCACTCTTGCTGGAAATTCCTCGGCTTCGAATTTGAGGGGCGCACGTACTCCTTTCGCTCACTGCCCTTCGGCCTCGCAACAGCACCGTTTGTCTTCACACAACTCATCAAACAATTAGCCAGGCGCTGGCGCGAACAAGGCATTCGAGTTGTTCCCTACGTGGACGACATCTTGTTCTTATGCACGTCCAAGGCACATGCACAGGCAACATGCCAGATGATAATCTCGGACCTCAAGATGGCAGGTTTGGTGATCAACGCGAAAAAATCACAGTTGTCCCCGTCACAACAGCTGCGATTCTTGGGCGTCGAGCTGGATACCAACTTGGGACAATTCTCTATCGGCACCGATCGACGAGCATCACTTCATGCACACATTCAGAATCTATTGAGCGCAAGCAAAGCACGTCGACAGGTTCCAGTCCGCCACCTCGCCAGAATCACGGGCACGCTCGCGTCAATGGCTGTCGCGCTAGGTGCTACGACTCGCGCGTTCAGCCACGCCATGCTACAAACGATCAACGACGCGCCGTCCTGGGGAAGCAGTGTGAGCATTTCCCCACCTGTGGCGGAGGAGTTGCAATTCTGGCTCGAGGAGTTTGACAAATTTAATGGCGCACCATTCCACGTCCGGAATAGCTACGACGCTGTAATCCACGTGGACGCCAGTTCCCACAGTTGGGGTGCCACTTTGCTCACCTTCCCTGGCGAACTTGAAGAAGCCAGTGCAGCCATGCCAGCACCACTGCAAGCAACGTCCAGCACCCGACGAGAAATCGAGGGTGTCCTTTGGGCCATCCGAACGTATGCGAACAAGGTCCAACAAAAACACGTGCTCGTAAGGGTGGACAACCAAGGGGTCTTCTTCATCCTTCGCAAAGGCGGTTCCCGCACCCCCGACCTGACCACCGCCTGCAAGGACATTATCCGTATCTGCATGAAGCTCGGCACTCGACTAATCGTCGAATGGATCCCGCGAGAGCTTAACTCCCATGCTGACGAGCTGTCAAAGCTGATCGACCAGGATGATTACTCTTTGAAGCAACCATGGTTCCGGATCCTTGATCGCCGTTGGGGACCGCATTCAATCGACCTCTTCGCCAACCATCACAACACGCAGCTACCACGATTCTGTTCGAAGATCCCACACCCCAAGGCTACCGTGGTTGATGCATTTTCATGCTCGTGGACAAACGAGAATGGCTTCGCGTTCCCACCACCCCAACTGATCCCGGCAGTCATCCGCCACGCACAACGCACCAATGCATCATTCACCCTAATCGTCCCCCACTGGACGGGGGCAAACTGGTGGCCACTGCTACAACCCTCCCCACCTAGCTGGGCCCCGCACGTCCGAGCGCACATTCCCATAACGCACGGCAGCCAATGCCTAGCAGTAGGAACGCACCGCACTGCCTTTTCAGGCATAGGACTGCCTCATAGCACAATCATTGCACTACGAGTGGTCTTCGACTAACCCAACCTGCACGCCTTCGCGCAGACGTATTACCGAAGCTACAAGTCCAACTATTAAAGATGCTCTCACAGTCTCGGGCCGATTCAACGATCCGAACATACGAGCCATACTGGGTCAAGTTTCGAGCATTTTGTGCAAAGGTCAACCTCCCATTCCTTCCCACGTCGGACATGACCCTCGCGCTGTACCTGGTGTACGCTATCCAACACAGAGCCACACTGCCCATGGTACAACTTACATGCTCAGCGGTGAGCTTTGCACACCGCATGACTGGGAGCACATGCCCAACGACCGGCCCATTCACCACTCAAGTACGCGACTTCGCGAAACGACACTGTCCTCGCCCCACACGAGTGAAGGAGCCTGTCTCGCTGCAACAGGTCCACGACATGTCTGCGAGCTACCTGCAGTCCGACAACCCCGGGGAGTTCCAAAAGGGGCTAATCCCTATCCTCATGTACACTGGATTCCTAAGATACTCGGACCTCATTGCCATCGAGTGGCAAGACATCCAGTTCGACAGTGAGGTCATGTGGATCCTAATCCCGTACTCCAAGACGGACCAAGCTGGAAGGGGCACATGGATACCCATCGCCGCAACTCATGATCCCTTCTGCCCTGTCCGCTGCACCCGACGGCTCATCCAACTCGCGGGATACGACCGACAGTCCGCAGGGCCGCTGATTCGCATCTTTGGACGTGGCTCACTACAAGGCCAAGCAAGGTCGCCGTCCTACCCGACGATCCGGAACTGGTGCAAAGAAGCCTTTGGGAAGATCGGACTAGGGGAACAGCAGCTGGGCACTCACTCCTTTCGCAAAGGAGCAGCCACTGCTGCGGCGAACACCGGCGTGCCGGACAGAATCTTCAAACGACTGGGCAGATGGCGCAGCGATACAGCGAAGGAGATGTACGTCACGCCCAACGCCGAACATCTCATCAGCGCCTCCCGCCAGCTGCAAGATCTGGCCTACGCCCCTTCTTCAGCACAGCACGCAGAGGCACTCGTCCGTCATCGAAAACCCCCGCTGCCCATGTCTCAGAGACCCCAGTTGAAATGAGAACGATGCCAAATGATAATTATTAGAAAGCAAGCTTTCTAAATATGATAATTTTTAAACACACATAGTGTTTTTTAAAATTACGTATTTCGAAAGCGCAGCTGACTGTAACGGGAATTTGGCATCGTCGAAGCGCGCTAAACGCCCATCTCCAACTACAAATCGTGGGTTGGAGTTCATTTCCCTCCACCCACGTCTCTCATTTTTCAAACGGCTCATGCAACTCTCCCACCCCCCGCCCAACACCGATGGACATCAAGGCCGCCGCTTACACAGGAGGACACAAGTGGTACAATGTGGGTTAGCGCACACCTATTAGGATTGATAGCTTGACGAATGATTGATAGGAAGTATCAGGACATGTACTAGCGCTTATATTGTCTAGCTCGAGGTGCATGTTGTAATTTGCCAGTTGAAATGAGAACGATGCCAAATGATAATTATTAGAAAGCAAGCTTTCTAAATCGAAGCAGCTGTAAATAAGGCAACCCTTTCCATGGAAGTGCAGAAATTTGTCCTCCATACCATATTGCTCCACTCTTTCTTCTCAATCATTGGTGTAACGCCCTTACTCGTGCGCAGTATCTCGCCCAAACACTTGTTGTTGTAGGTGTTGTTCCAGGGTAACAACCCGCCGATTTGAGACGCCACTATATCCAAGGAATTATGGAAAATAAATATAGGAGTGGTGACACTCGAAAGAGTGTAGTGCGGGAAAAAGCACTTCCATTGGTCACTCTTAGGGAGGCCTGGGGGAGGGGGGGGGGGAGGGAATGGGTTTGGACGGAAGAAAGGAAGAGAGAGGGTGGATAAGGAATTGAGAATCAGAAGGAAGAGAAATCGCGACGTGCAAGGGAGCGTGCGAAGATAGAGAGAGTCAGGTTCTGAGGCACCATAAATCGGGGAGTGGGGATGTTCGTTGTGTGTGTTGCGATATAGTTTACAGCGATTACGAGTCAAAACGGTGCACTTGCACCAATTAGGCTGGTGCAGCGCAGCGCGACGCGCAAGGGAGCGTGCGAAGATAGAGAGAGTCAGGTCCTGAGGCACCATAAATCAAATCGGGGAGGGGGGATGTTTGTTGTGGTGAGTTGCGAGATAGTGTACTGTACAGTGGTTTCGAGTCTCACCAACCATTTATGCACTTGCTCCACTTGGGCTGGTGCAGCGCGGTGCAAAACGCTGTAGTGTAGCACAGAGCGGTTATGCATCTCATTTTCCATGCAAGACCACTTAGGTTGGTGCAGTGCAGTGCAGTGCAGTGCAGTGCGGTGCAGTGCAGTGCAGTGCAGTGCAGTGCGGTTGTGAATCTCACCATCCAAGCAAGACCACTTAGGCTGATGCAGGTCAACCACGCTCTTGGCAAGAATGCGCCACGTGAACCCGCCCGTACGGTCTTTGGAGTCTGATGGGGTAGGAATGTCAACACAGGTCAACTAGGGTCAAGCAGGGTCAACGAGGGTGAATAAGGTCAACCTCACTCTTGGCAAGAACACGCCATGTGAAACCCCCTGTGCGGTCCTTGGAATCTGGCAGTGAGGGAACCAGGAATGGCAAGTCAATGCAAGTCAATGAGGGTCAACGAGGGTGAATAAGGTCAACCACGCTCCTGGCAAGGCTGCGCCATGTGAACCCCCCCCGTGTGCGATCCTTGGAGTCTGAAAGGAGAGTGGGTACAGACCGTACGGTGCAGTGAGATTTGGTGAGGTGCATTGAGGTACACAAATCCACTTGGGCTGGTGCAGGTTCACCACACTCTTAGCATAAGTGCGCCATGTGAATCTCTTTGTGGGATCCTTGGAGTCTGATAGAGTAGAGGGTGATGTGCGGTGAAACGTGGTGAGATGCGGTGAGGTGAGATGAGAAGAGGTCGCCCAGAGGAAGTAGATTGTTTTTAAGATTCAAAAATAGTCTCAACGATAAAGAAAGCCTACAACGAGCGCTACAAAGCCTAGAGTGCAGACGCAAAGTGAAGTCTCAGATTGAAGTCTCAACGATAAAGAAAGCCGAGTCAGAGACTCGCCAATAGCGGACTCACCAATGAAAAAGCCCGAGTCGGAGATGCATTTGGTTGCCGCCCAGGGGAAGGCGGCAGCGATGCGATCGCAGAGAGCCACAACTGCTTGACCGCCCGCTGAGCTGCCCGATAGAAGAATCTGTGCTGCAGATTTGAGCCCGCGATATGATTTCAAATCTGATAGCGTTGGGATGAAATGGGAATAAACAATGATGAGGAGCATTAAAAAAAAAAAAAAAAAAAAAAAAAAAACTTAACCTTTCCACAACCCACCTTCCATGATAGCTCAAACGATCTTTCTCCCATCCAGGAACACCACGTTCCCTCCCTCCGCCTCCATCCTCCCGGTCGTCCCTGCAAATCCCCCGCCATCACAGTAGAGTAGACCACCTTTCACCACAACAACACCACTCACCATCCAAAATAGCCCGAACGATCTTCCACCCATCCAGGTACAGCACTTTCCCACCCCCCACCTCCACCCTCCCGGTCGTCCCTGCAAATCCCCCGCCATCACAGTAGAGTAGACCACCTTTCACCACAACCACACCACTCACCATCCAAAATAGCCCGAACGATCTTCCACCCATCCAGGTACAGCACTTTCCCACCCCCCACCTCCACCCTCCCGGTCGTCCCTGCAAATCCCCCGCCATCACAGTAGACCACCTTTCACCACAACCACACCACTCACCATCCAAAATAGCCCGAACGATCTTCCACCCATCCAGGTACAGCACTTTCCCACCCCCCACCTCCACCCTCCCGGTCGTCCCTGCAAATCCACCACCGTCGCAGTAGATGGGGCGGACGAGGTTCCAGTTGTAAAAGGCCGGGTTGGTGCTGCTGTTGCTGCTGAGAATGCCCATGAAAGGGGGCCGAATTACCTGAGGAGAGGGAAAGTGGGGAAAGGGGGAGGGGGAGAGGGGGGAAGGGGAGAAGGAGAGGGAAGGTGAGGCCAAAGGGGCGGGCGAGGTTCAAGTTGTAGAAGGCCAGGTTGATGCTGCTGTTGCTGCTGAGGATGCCCGTGAAAGGAGGGCGGATCACCTGAGGAGGGGAGAAAGGGGGGAAAGGCGGGAAAGGCGGAGGGGGAGAGGGGGGAAGGGGAGAAGGAGAGGGAAGGTGGGCCAAAGGGGCGGACGAGGTTCCAGTTGTAAAAAGCCGGATTGAGTCATGTAGTTGCTGCTGAGAATGCCGGTGAAAGGGTGCCGAATCACCTGAAAGGGGGAGAAAAAGTTTTAAGGGAGGGGTTGTGGCAGATGAGAAAGGAACAGAAGGGCGAGTTGATGGCGCTGTTGCCACTGAGAATTGCGGTGAAGACGGGACGAATCACGTGAGAAGGTGGCTGGAAAGCGTCTTTCTGGCGAGTTTCAGATCTGCGAATTTCACACTTGTTTTTTTACTGTTGATCCTTCCTTTGCTTCATCTTTCGCAAGATCGTGAGAAGGTGGCCGGGCAGCGTCATCTTTACTACTGCAGCCCTTCGAACATGGGTCAAGGCGATCTGCGGTGAAGACGGGACGAATCACATGAGAAGGTGGCCAGAAAGCGGGGGGAGGGGGGTGGGAAGGATCAACAGTACACACGTGAATGTGCACATACGATACACACACTCAAACACACACACACACACACACACACACACACACACACACACACACACACACACACACACACACACACACACACACACACACACACACACACACACACACACATACCTTACTGTCAGGGTCATCCGGGTAAAACGTGCTGCTGCCCAGCCACATGTTGCTCCTCGCCACGCACGTACTCACACACACACGTGATGCACATACACGCACAGAAACACGCATACACACGCCACACACACACACTCACACACACACGTGAATGTGCACATACACGCACAGAAACACACATACACACGCCACACACACACACTCACACACACACGTGAATGTGCACATACACGCACAGAAACACACATACACACGCCACACACACACACTCACACACACACGTGAATGTGCACATACACGCACAGAAACACACATACACACGCCACACACACACACTCACATACACACGTGAATGTGCACATACACGCACAGAAACACACATACACTCACACACGCCACACTCACACCTTACTATCTGGGTCATCCGGGATAGAACGTGCTGCTAACTAGCCACGTCTTGCTCCTCGCCATGCACTCACATACACACACGCATTTGCGTACAGTACAGACGCGCGCACGCATGCGTACAGACGCGCACACACAGGCATGCATGTGTGCGTACCTTACTGTTTGGGTAGTCAGGATAAAACGTGCTACTTCCCAGCCACGTCTTGCTCCTCGCCACGCACTCACATGCACACATGAATATATGCGTACAGATGCGCACACGCATACAGACGCGCACACGCATGCGTACAGACGCGCACACGCATGCGTACAGACGCGCACACACAGCCATGCATGTGTGCATACCTTACTGTTTGGGTCGTCAGGATAAAACGTGCTACTTCCCAGCCGCGTCTTGCTCCTCGCCACGCACTCAGCAGCAGAGCCACACCACGCGCCGCCCGGAAGGTAAATGTGCCACATGTTCTTGCCAGCTCCCGTGCCCACCCGGAAATAGTACCCTGGGGGGCTGCGGCGTGGAGGGGGGTGGCGGGTGGAAGGGGGAGGGGTTGAGGGGATATCACCCTGAATCACATGTTCTTGCTGGCCCCCGTGCCCGCCCGGAAATAGTACCCTGAGAGGCTGGGGTAAAGAAGGTCGGAGGGTGCGGTGGGAGAGTGGGGAGGGGAGGGGAAAAGGAGAGGGGGGAAAGAGGGGGGAGAGAGGGGGGAGAGAGGGGGGAGAGAGGGGGGAAGAGGGGGAAGGGAGAATGACCACACCATGCTATTGCCGCCCTCTGTGCCCTCTGTGTCCCCCCAGAAACTCCCCTCATCCTTACTCCCTTCCGCCTCCCCCCTTCCCCCTTCCCCCTTCCCCCTTCCCCCTACCTGCCGTCAAGGCATCTCGCCCCAACCGAGTTGTCCGGAAGCAGTATCAGCCGCGGCCTCTCCGCTTGCAACGGCGGCACCGGCGGCGGCAGTCCCGCGAGCAGCGCGAGCAGGTGCTGCCGGAACGGGAAGCAGGATAAGCCGCGGACTCTCCGCTCCCCCTCTTCCGTCCCATCCGCCACCGCCCTGGAATTCCCCTTCCCCTTTCCCCATCTTCCCCTTCCCCCTACCTGCCGTCAAGGCATCTCGCTCCCATCGCGTTGTCCGGAAGCAGTAACAGCCGCGGCCTCTCCGCTTGCAACGGCGGCACCGGCGGTGGCGGCGGGAGTCCCGCGAGCAGCGCGAGCAGGTACTGCCGGAAATTCCTGATGCTCTTCGCGCGCGAGTTCTCCTTAAGTTCGCGCGCCTCGACCTCGCGATGCGCCGCCGAAGCGCGTTCTTGAGCCGACTCGGGAAGTTCTACTGTTGGGGAAGATGAGGTAGGCGCGACTGTCCGGGCGACAGCGAATGGCGCGTTCGTCTGAGCATTCGCTGTTGGCGAATTGCGAAAGAGCAGCAGCGACAGCAAAAATATGCACAGCAGGAAACGACGCATCGAGCTACTAGTCTTCGCTGTCGCCCTGATCGCTGCAGCGGCCCTCGTCGCCTTCATCGCCATAGTCGCCGCCGTCGTCACACGTCGTAATCGTCGTCACCGTCGCCCACGTCGTCGCCAGACAACTCACTACAGTACCGCCGCCGTTAACAGTCGTTCTACAGCATAACGTCGATAAGCGCGTACTAGTAAAACTCGTGTTGTTCAAGATGATTTTTTAGTCGACTCGAAAGCCACTGCCGCAAAACCGCCGCCGACCAGCGCGCCCTATTCGCCTAGAGGTTCCATACCACCCAAAGGCAAATATGGCATATAACTTGTAAGAATCTTCTAAGAATTCCTAAAAGGGACACAAGTACGCTGCCAGTGGTTCTAGCATGACGTTGACCAGCGCGCCCTATTCGCCTAGAGGTTCCATACCACCCAAAGGCAAATATGGCATATAACTTGTAAGAATCTTCTAAGAATTCCTAAAAGGGACACAAGTACGCTGCCAGTGGTTCTAGCATAGCGCCGACCAGCATATATTACGTGTGGTAGACTTTCACCTCTGGCGATTGCCGTAGTTTATGCAACGAGGTCGGAAATTCAGCAGTGCTCTGATAATTCTTTTAGAGGCGCCTCAAAAATAGCCTCACTACAAGCGTTCTAATAGTTCGCGATTCACCACAACAAGCGGCAGAGCAGCCATGATCCTCGCGGATCGCCACACACGCATCGCTTGCCGCTCCAATCTGCCAATCACTCCTCCGATCTGCCGGGATCAGCGGCGACACAGCTTGCAACTGCAACTGCGGCTATCCCGCTGCACCTGGCGCGAGCCGCTAAAATGATTCGCCGCGATTGCCGTGTCAGCGCGCGTTGAAACCGGCGCAAGAAATAAGACGGTTATAAGACTGCAAGAAGGGAATCGTGCGAACCGATCTGATCCGATCCGTCATGGAGCTTCACATTCACGTCGTGTCAGCGTGAAACCACATAGTATTGGCTGGCTGAGACGGCGATCCTCGACTCGAGCCGAGGGTTGACTCGGAAAATCACCTCGGCGACGAGCTATCTCCCGCGCTCGGACTCGGTGTAACCTCTGCCTACCCATAGCCCAACCGCAACGAACAAACTTGTGGGTTGTTTGAAAGCAGAGCTGGTTCGAACGCGGCGCGAGTGGTCGGTAGCATGCATACATCTACTCATTTCGGGACTCGGGACTAGGATCGGAAACGAATGGTGGAGTGAGACTTAGACAGTGAGCGCGGGAGATGGAGGTTGAAACTGTGCTGTACGGTTCAGTGTACCTGGGAGGCGTGCAAATCGTGCGACGATAATTTGTTGGGAAAATGGCTGCGTTCTGCGGCCGCATCAGAGCCTGATGCGCCCTAGGCTCGGCCTGATCCGCACATTGACAAATTGAGGTTCGGTAATGTCCAAATTGAAATTGGGCAATGGAGGTTCGGAAAATGGACACGCAGGTTCGGGAAATCGGAAATTCGAAATTGCAAATTTAGACATTCCCAATCTCGATCTCAATTCTCTGCGGATTTCCAGCTAGTTGAAGGGTTCGTCGAAGCAGGGAAGCATGTACCTCACGCCTTCCCCACGGGCATGGACTTTGCTGCCTGACTGCCCGACTTTGGCTTTGCGCTTGTCGAAACCCTTGGGCATCGAGCAGGGAACGCGCTGTGTTGTTCTGCCGAGGGGCAGTAGTGGGCCATCAATGACGCGGCTGTTTTTGGGTTGCGAAGCAACCTTTTACAATCGTTATGTACTTTTTTTTTTCATCCACTATTTATAAATTGAAGATGAAGAAAAAACCATATAAACGATAGCCTAAGTGAGTGCTGCCATACAGTATGTGGTATTTTCCGTGGCAATTCATCATGTGCCATACTGATTTTCGTCTACCTGTATCTTTCTATTCTTTCTTGGCGTTTAGTATGGATGAATATACCTTCACTTTATGGATGAGATATGATGTTATTGTGAGCGCGAGTCGATACGGTATGCAGTACTATGATATGTTATGCATAAATGAAGTTTGCATGCATGTAGTATGTGGATGGATATGATTGATCATGTATAATGCATAAATATGATGTCGTGAATGCATAAGACAATGAAAATGCGTGATAGTTTAATGACCCATACACTAGGCTACCGCATCCCCTGCCTAGCATGGGGGGGAGGTCGATAGCATAGCATTTGAATCATCCAACTGTCACATGCAATAACACAATCTGTGTATCCTAAAAAAATGATCAAAATCTGTCAAATCCAGTTCAAGTGAACACACTCACTGAGTGGGCAAAGAACCTTCTCGAAAATGACAGGTTGACTATTTTTTTAAAACCCACAGATATCCATTGTGAATGCAGATGCATATGGATCAATGCATACATGCATGTCATGCACACACACTGACACATTCACCAGAAGACACACAAAACGGAGACGCAAAGTCAAGAAGTCACGAAATAAATCTATCGAAACAGTGTAGTACCATCAATCAATTTAAGCACTATTATCTGTCTTTTGCACAGATTGTTCTTGACTTCCCAAATGGTACAGCAAAACCTCTGAGAATAAAGATGAGGAAAATGGGAGGGAGGGGGGCGGAGGGGGAACACGGGGCGAATTTGGATTAGATTAGATGGAATGGGAGAGAAAGGATAAAAGAAAAAGAACAGAAAAAGAAGGATATAAACTTGGACAACGATACAGAAAATGGATTTAAACGGGAGGAACGAAGAGGAAGAAGATGGAGAGAACCTGACATATCAAAGAAAATATTGAACTAATGAAGAAAGAAATGCAACAAACAACCATACAAATTGAAAGAAGGGCAGAAGAAGGGCAAGATATTGAAGGGCAGAAGCAAGATAAAAAGAACAAACAGAGAAGAAGGGCAGAAACAGAGATATTGAAGGACGTGGAAAAACCAAACAGAATCAGGAAACACTGAATGACTGAATGAAAGGAAGAGAACATCGGCAAACAAGGCAGTGGGATATAAGAAGATCACATGAGAAGAGGAAACAATGAGAAGAGGAAAGGAGAATGGCTTCAAAGAAAACAACGTAACATTGAGAAGAATGGTAGGGAAAGCTAACATTGGAAAATAACTTTGATTTATAACATAAAAAATGGACAGAAGGAAATAGGAAAGGGTAAAGTGAAAAAGAGTGAAAAAGGTAAACGGGGGGAATAAAAATGAGGAGAGGAAAGTGCGCGGAGTGAATAGGAGTTTAATTAACACGAAGAAAGAAATAAGAAACAAAAAGGGAAAGAGAGATAGGCATAGAAAGCGACTTCGATCGTGAATTAAAACAGAGAAGGAACAGACAAGAAAACGACATTCGAAAGTAGATTGAACAGAAGGGAAAAACAACTGAACGGAACGCGAAGTAATAGAAGGAAAAGAGGAGGTTGAAACTAGACTTTTGCGAAGACAAGGACAGACGGAAGCAAAGGAAATCTTTCAGGTATTTTAGTGATTGTTCAGTTACTTAACATCAAACAATGGAAAGACAATGACAATGGTATATGACGAAGTGAGAAAAGAAGAATGGAATCATGAGATGCACTAGAAAGAGAGGAATGATAAACAAGGAAATCTAAGGGAGGAACAACATGGTAGAAAGAAACAAGCTACGGAGGGGAAACGAACGACAGCACGAAACGAGGTGAAAGAGGAGGTGCATGGCGAAGAAAGAAAGACTTACGAGCGCAAGGAGACTACAAATGAAGCGCAAGAGAAAAAGAGCAATGAGGTAATGGAACTACTAAGAAAACAAGGAAGACTCACCACGAATGACTATGTCTTTGCACGTCCAAGACACATGACGGTAACGCCTGAACGGCAACGAGTACAGAATCGTTAACAAGGAAAAATCTGATGTAAATTTTAATCTTCAACGGTGCCTAAAGCAGCCAACAGAAGACACTAGCACACTAGCGCTCTATTTATTTGAGTTTCAGAAGGCTAAGTCGTGTTAGGTATGCACCTACCTCTGTTGACATCGCTCTGCAGAGCGGGTGGAAGCGAGAAAATCGAAAAGAGGAAGTTACGAAACCCTACCCAGTTCAGATTCGTCGCAAAGCATATCGCTGGTTACCTTAGTTGGTAGAGATTCGACATTGCTTCTAGCGCAGTCGTTTGCATGTCAGCTGTTAAACCGAAGGTTCGGGGTTCGAATCCAAAGTTCCAATATACATTAACTGCCCCTTTTAGCAGTCTCAAAACCTTCTGAAATATGGATAACTTTTGATTCAAAAGAAGAATCATTACCGTACAAAAGTGATACAGGTATAAAAAAAACACAGCTTCGCAACCCTAAGACGATCTCGTCGCCTCTTGTTTTTTTTTTAAGGGCGTTGTTCAGTTGCCCCATTCAGGCTGATGCGCGCATCATGCGTCTTCTCGGCGTTGCATCATGCGCGCATCAAGGAAAATTGAGATTGCTAGGACGATGAACTTCTCGGAAAGCGTTAACATGGAAATTTGTGGTTGCAAAAGAGGCCGTTTTGCAGGCATTCGGGGATGGTTTGCCTCGGCAGCCGAGAGCTTATCGCGAGCCTTGATAACTGTCAAATGTTGTAGCCTATAGTGAGGTTTGTCTTAGGGGGTACAAAACTTAGGGTTAGCTATATGTACCCCAACCAACATC